ATTGTATCAAGACTTATACTGTATCCAAAGATTTGAGAAATTAAGGTTAGAGAACTAGTTTTCTGTCACCATTTGGTTTAATCCATGTAGAAAAGAAATCTGTTAATTTACCCTGCACAAGTACAATAGGAAACCTGCAAATATCTAATTGACCAGAAGACTTTTTAATTTTGCCATTATGGTACGTGCGATCAGATTCCCTAAGACGTTCTTCACCACCTCATAGTGTTCATTCACATCACTGCAAAAAGTGGGGTATATACAGTAAAGCTCACATCCTCTATGTGCTTCTCTCGCCTTGAGTAATCAGCCTCGTAATCAGTTTCACAATCTATCAAAGATCAGTCTGAAGACCTTTTAAGGATCTCTTTCACAAATTAAAAGACGAATCTGGAGATTTTGTATTTCTTCGCATTATCAGTTTAAGATTAATCAATAATAGTTAGACTTTGCGTGAGTATTGTAATAAAAATCAACGGAAACTAGGTCAACATAATCAAGAATTACATTTGTCATTAATAAAGCTGTGTATTTAGTTGATGGTACTACTTACTTTATTTGAACCAACTTGTATTTCTGCTGAGGTTCTGAACCCTTTCTACTAATGTTAAATGTATATTTAATTATTGAATATGCATGTAACTTAACCTGACCATTGAGTCATGTAATGGAGTTAATGTTGTTTTTCTCTGTCTCTGTTCAGAATGGGGGTTATAAATCTTCAGAACTATTTGTGGTTAACTTTCCTCTTGCACTTTTATTAAATTGTTTTGGCAGCACATAGGTCTTTCAAAGGCTTATTCCTCATCCAACTGTTGAATATTTCTGATAAATAAACATTTTACAAAAAATTAAGTGGGGCTATTAGGCATTTATTTAGCTTGTGTAATAAATAGATCAACATTTTCCTTTGCATAAAAAAGGTTGTTCTTGAACTCCAGTAATTTGAGGTCCAAGTAACTTTTTACTTAGAAAGTTTCAAGGACTTGCATAGTGAAAATACAAAAGTCAAGGCAGAGAACAAAGGCAGAAGAATACCGAGGAAGATTTAGTCTTTTTTTTCCTCTTAGGTTAAGTAGCTGTAATTTCAGACATCTCTATAAAAGCACCACTAATTAGAAAAGGCTTGAATATGTGAGATTTCTGCTTATTCTGTTGTCACTAAGCATCGCATTTAGTTAATTTATAAAGCAATTTAATTAAGTGTGATAAAGTATAGGCAAACCTGATCTTATGTTGTAAAATTATAATTATAAAGCTATGGAAATATTATAATTACTCTTCCTACACATGCACATTTAAACATTACCACACAGTTGGTGATTCAGATGTGTCAGAAAGATAATTGCACACCACTGGTTGTCTTTTTTTTAAATTGTTTTCATGGTGTATTTATGAGCTGCTGCCATAAATGAACAGCAGCACAGCTAGAACTCCAGTTTGTCTACCCTGAAGATCTGGGCATCGAGGAGGCAGTGCCAAGGAAAATCAGTTTTCAGACAGAACATCTTGAGCCCTCCATTTTATCAGATACATTGTACATCAATGAAGAACACCACCTAGAATGTGCAAATTGTTTGTCTAATGTCAAATATCTAACTATCACTGTGCCAGAGATAATTAAGCATTAGAATCATAAAGTCACATTTAGGGCTTGCAGTGAATATCTGCAATTTTGTGCTTTTCAATTATCAAGAGATCCCACTAGAACAAGGAGTTCTCTTTCTCTTGTTTTCCAAGTTCACAGAAGTTCAGAAGGACATGTCTCTTTACAAAAGAATTCAGTCTCGCAATCTTGATCATTTTTCACTATTGTCTTAAATAGCTTTCTCAGTGCACCAAGCAGCTCTCTACAGGACTTGGTGTCACAAGACTGGAATTGTACAATTGTCTAGTGATTGCCATGGATGAAAAGGCATCTCTTTCTCAAGAAATATTGTTTTAGCATCCTAATATAAAATAACTATCATGACTTCCCCAAAATGTCCCAGAGCTGTGTTACATTCCCAGCCTTTATCCTGTGCATAAATCAGTATTTTACACATGGGTGTGCCCCACTGGTGAAATAATAACAGACCTATTCAGAACTTTTGTTTGATTGTTTTCATTACTTCTCTCAGTAAATCCAGCACTTATGCAGAGCTGGAGTCTCTGGATTGAGAGGAGTTTTTTTTTTTTTTTTTTTTTTACCTGCTAAACATCATTTCCCTCGTCTAAAGGCAGAAACATCAATTTAAAAGTTTTACAGACTTTCCTAGGCTTTTGTGGTTTTATAGCAAATATTTTCAAAATAAACATACATTGAAACAAATAGGTTACATATTTAAGCTCTTGTCTGTAACTGTGGACAGTGTTTACAGATAGAGGGAGCTATTTTATTTATTTATTTATTTTTTACCAGTTAATCTGTTGACTTAAGAACAAGCAATAATGAGTGTTAGTCACAAGGAAGAAATTAAGGCATTCATTTAGTTATTAACTGCAATAACAAAATTATTATTTACCTTCCTATAACTGCTACAATTATGATCAGATTCTGTGGGAAACACAAATTATTTAGGGTGGCCATATCTTTGAATTGCTCTAATTATCATGTTTAATTTCCATGGTCTCATAATGTAATAATTCTACATTTAGATTTCTTTTTTTAACTAATGCAAGTAAAATAGGAAAGAGGGGTTACAGCTTTCGTATTTCGTGCACTGTGGTGCGTTTGTTTCAAATATTGGAGTGAACAAGTGTCACCAGTAGGAGTGCGGAACAAATAAAGGATGTTGTATCTATTGAGAATACATCTATATGGCTTAGACTGCTTTGAGACACTCCAGGTAATGTAACCCTGTGAAGCAATACCACAGTTTCAAGATATTAACACAGCCCTAATTACTTTTACTTAAAAATGGAAAACAACCATTATATGTACTGTTGCAGAATAAATAATAATCACTTATTCAACATTTATTGCGGCTAATATAAGTTTGATTAGAACTCTTATTCATTGTTTTTGAGACTTAAACATAACTATTTAATGAACACACTATACAGTATAGTGGTTTTCAACTTCTAATTAAACAAGATGTTGCATCTTTACGCTGTTTCTGCTTTTGATAGAGTAATACTGGGAGCATACCAAGCTGATAGTTGATAAATGAGTTGGGCTTTACGGCTTTTGTAGCGATCCAACTATAGTTTTAACAGTGTTGCGATAGGTGGTACTTGTTTGGTTTAGCCCATATAAAATAATTTCAAACAACCAAATTGGTTTTTCTTTAGGCCAAGGGAAATGCTGATGTGACCTTCTTTTAGGCGGCTTGTTGTCAGTGTTAAGCAGTAAGTTGGGGAGGGGCTCCAGTCACAGTTTGCATCTAAAATCATGAGATGCCTTTGCTAAAAATGAGATGGCAAGCTTACTGTGTGAATGGATAGAGATGTATCCAGTTATTTCATGTTGTGCTCTTATTTTTATGATTTTGGTGTTTCTGTCCATTGGGATATAAAAATGTAAACATTCGTCATCATCAGTAATTTATCATTATGGTATGTCAAATAATTTCGTCTGGACAGAAAATGGTTGTCACAGCAAATGGAGTGCACAGGTTTAGTGAAATGTGCCCCACTGATTTAACCAGACGCTTGCTGAACTTTTAAAAGAAGTTAAATAATGAACAACTCAAACCATGATCAAATCATGTTGAGCAACAATCTTCTAGCACAGCTGTTACAAAATGAATTAGTTTCTTTTAATGACTTCTGTGAAATCACACAACCCAATCTAATACTATAATTCCCTATTAGGCATCCTTACTCCAGCAGTCGCTGTATTTGCATTGTAACAGTGTGCAGAAATGCATCAGGGTATTAAATGTATTTAGCTAACAATGTGTGACAGGATGAAGCATGTCTGCCTAGCTCAATCTGTGATTCTATTTAAGGGATTTGCATGCAATCAGAATAATTCATGTCCTGCTCTGCCACAACATATTGCTGCTGGTGCCATGTTGGAAACGGCTGATGAGACTGAAGTTGAGCCTCTCTGCTCCCCGTTAGGTGACCTAGTGTAGTGAGGAAATTATTTTAGAGGTGACTCATCTCTGTTGGGATTTGTTCGTTGAACGATATATTATGTAATATGCACACTGTAAACACAGATTGCTTGGGAGCGCTGTCATCTTTTTAGCACATCCTCCTTTGAGTAAACATTCCTCATGAGATTTATTGCAACAGAGGACACACTAATAATGTGTACATTAGTGCATTCTCATGAAGGTGCTGTGAAAAAAGTATGTGCCTTTACTGATTTCTTCAGTTTTCTTTTTTATTTTATCATCATTATTATTTATTTACTTTTTATGATGTAAAAATGTAATATAATAATTCCCAATTAAATATGCCACAATGCTAAATCACAAATCAACCGCTATTTAAATTTTGAGAAGGCTTTGAATAAATATGATAATCTTTAATTTAGAAAATGATGCTTATTGCTGAGTTTAGTTTGGGTTTTTTGTTTCTTTTTTGTGTTTTCTGGTTGAATTTGTATTTTTGTTTTTAATTTACATTTGTTTAATTTGGGGGACTATATTGCTTAATGTGAATCCTATGGTAACTGTACTACTATTGCTTGTTTGCTTAGTTATATAAAAGTTCAATAACCATATTGCTAATAAAAATACTTGAAATAGTTGTAACTGTCATGAGTGACAAGTTATTAGATTTAGGGTAGCAGTTACTTTTCAAACAGGAGAAAGCAAGAATACTTTGGATGTTTTCTGTAATAAAATCGAATCATTATTAAAAAAAAAACTGCATTTCATATTTACTCGGGTTATCTGACAATGATTAAACACAGAAACAGTAAAAGTCTGTAAGGATGTAAATACTTTTTAGAGCACTCTAATACTGTATGAGTGACTGTTTCCTGCTAGTTGGGGGCAGGCCCTGCCCTGTGAACACATGCTCAAATAGACCTCAGGTTATTGCAACACTCGTGGGCGTGAGTCTCAACGTGTAGGATAGGCTTTGGTGCAGCATCTTGTGGAATCATTTTTCCTCTTCTCTTTATTGAGAAAGAGGTGAAGATGTTGATGGAACGTTGTCGCTCGTCCACACAGACTCGTGTGTCCTGCCATTGGTAGACCAGCAGAATGACAGGTATGCGTCTGTTTAAAGGAGACTTTATCATCCTCATTGGCTTATGGGGCTTTCACCGGGTAATCATTGATGGAGTGATTGTGTGTACAGCTGAAACTGTTTCAAGTCAAAGCATTCCTTTTGTTTTTGGGTGTGTCAAGCATAGGTTGTTTTTTGCTTGTTTGCTTGTATTTTTTGCTAGCATTTCCACCATGTGCTTTGAGAAATTATCATCCTCCTGAGAGGAATTTTGTGTAGGTTTGTTGCTCACAAAAAGCTACAGTAGTTTGTGGCCTGCTGCTTTTTTTCAGGGCTTCCTTGCTTTCTATTTGGAAGTTCTCAGCATAGGATTGCCAAAAGTGTTTCAGTTTTTTACTGTTTTGCCTGAAATCGATACTCCTTGGAATGTTCCTTTTGTGAATTTGTTTGGTTTGTTGGTTAAAACGGGTTAAAGTTCAACCTGGTGAACTTGTTTGGGACTAAAGTTGTTAGTTTTATCAGGGAAATCAATACACGGTTTTGCAAAGAGTGATTATGTGCTGTAGGTCTTTAGAGAGGCTGTTGCTGATAGTAAGTACTGTATTTCTCCCAACTATTCTTTTGATTTTACATAGGGCTGATTAGTCAGTCTTAAAAGCGTCTGTGTCTTAAAGGGTCAGATTCTTGTTTTTAAACAGCCTATTTCCCTTTTTTCTCAATTTAACTACATTCCATACACCTCTACAGTTTAGGGTGTTTAAGATTTGAGACTTGGTATACTCTAAGATCATTTCATCTTCTTGACCATGTAAGGTTAGAGTAAACTCAACAGTCAGCCAAAGAGACTGGTACAACTAAATATACCATAACTAAATGCCAAAAATATTCCTCATAATGTTAAAAATTCTCAAAAATGGGGATATACCACACCTGATATCATCATCAAGATATTTACCTATATTATCCCTATTGCAAGATTTTTTTATGTTGTGCAGCCTTGGTGCAGTTGCCTTTTTGGAAAAGTAATCAGAGTTGAAGTTTCTAACCAACCCATTCAGAAGTGACAGACAGCTAAATATCATTTACGTCTGATCCATAGCCAATTTCTCAGAGTACCTTTACTTAAATGCAATAATATTTTGGTTTTTATGTTCAAAATGCTGTATTTTTCCTTTGTGGTAATCAGTAACATATTTAACCAGTAAGATAGACCTCAATGGATAAAGATTAGTTGTGGAAGAAACCGCTAAACATTTGGAAATTTAATTTAAGACATTATAGCTTTTTATTTCTGGGATTACTTGAAAATGTCACATTTTCAAAAAAATAAATAAATAAATAAAAATTCACTTGACTCACTGAATGTTAACTGCCCAGATCTTTTGCCACCTCCACTTCAGATAAATCACAACTGATTTGTTGTAGAATCTAAAATTTTGTTGTAGAGAAGCTATTTTAGCAGCACTGGCAGAAATATTTACTTTTTTATATTTGAAAATGATATAATATAAGGATCACTTTAACAACATTTTTTTTTAGATAAAAATATATTTTCCCTCTTCAAGTTGCAATTTTAAAACTGATTCCTAGCATAGATCTCTCAATAAACTTTCCATGTGTATGTGTGTAATTTGTTTTGAACAGGCATGTTTTTATCTGTGCTGAAAGTTGGTTTTTCAGTGTCGGTCATGTTCTTTAAGACAAATCTTCCATGTTGAAAGGAAATGGGAGTAATTGATTTATGTCGGGTGAACTGTACGTCTTCAGCTGACAGAGCCTCATTTCTTTGACAGATGTACAAAAGTTTTCCTTTTTGGATTTCTAAAAGTAATATCTTCTTAGAATTGTGAGTATTTCTGCCATTAACTTTGTTGTCCAACCACTGTATATGTTTGTAAACTTCTGTACTTACAACAATCTTCAGTCTGTAAATCAGTATGAGCTACTTTGCTTTTGCAGTAAAAATCCTGAACTAAATGTTTCTCCTCACAGAAGTGACCCATATTTCTGTGCTATCTAGAAATCCCTGTAATAGATTCGGCTTTGAGCCCTCTTGGTACCTCTCCACAGGCTTTGCACACCTGAGTGTGAGCAGTTTATCCCGTACTTTGCAGACCTCAGGATTACTCAGTCTGAATTACAAGTGTCAGTGGGCCGCCATCTTCACTTCTCCCACAGATACTTTTTGATGCAAAAGTGTGGACTTTGGTTAAACCATTTAAAGGAAACTGGTATAGCCTAATCTCACTGTGGTTTTCGCTTCTTGCTATCAGGTTTAATTTATAGGACCATGTTTGACAAAAACTGCATACAAATTGTCTTGTTGCTCTTAGTTTGCAGACCCATCAAATAGTATTTCATATAAAACCTAAAATCCATAGGGATATAATTGTTTATGTAGCTGCTTCTTACAGGTTCTTACTTTTTATTGTTTTGGGATAAGGAGTTTTATTGAAGTCTTTGTGTTCAACATGTACACAGCATACAAAATGTGTTGTTCTTGTCTAAATTGTGAAAGTATTTCTTTTAAAACCAGATGTGTTTGAAGGTAAATTCTGATGTAAAAGAAAATTATTAAGTAGTACTTAACTTTGTGCATAATGTTTAAGGATGCTGCACCTCTGGTCTAATAGTAAAACTCATTTGTCTACATAAAAAAAGTGATTTCAAGTTTATGCAGTTGTAGTGTAGAGTACGATCACTTTCCTTGGTTTGATGTTATCCCAAATCTGCTTTCTGTTCTCTGATTTTTTTTCCTCCCCTTCTGTTTATCTTCTGTCTTTCTGCGTTACACTTAATATAAACATCAGCATGTAATATAACTCCTCCTGTAAAGCATGGTGCCTGCTGGACAGGATGCAGGCATGTGAATTAAATACAGCATCAAGTTAAGGCTTCTTGCCTTGAGTCATTATTTTTTTTTAGCTTTATGTAGAACCATAATGTCTTACAGTAACTGAGTCAACCTTGAACTCTTCTGTATAAATGTTGTCCAGCAACAGATGTGGAACCATTCAGTAACTGAGACTTGGCATGAAAATGATCATGGATGCAAGTTTGAAAATCTGAGCCAAAATCTAAAGCGGAATGACTAAAAATATGCTACAAATAATCTTTTCTCTAAACTACACACCTCCACCTGATTAATATGGCGTATACAGATTTTGAAAGTCTTCTGCTTGTACAAAAAAGACTCACAAACCTCAATGAAATTAAGCAACATTGAAAAAAGAAGAGTCAGCCAGACTTCCTTAATACCACTGTAGGGGCTTGATTAGGTAATTCAGAGGGTTTCTCATCTTATTGCTGGCAATGAGGGTTTTTCATGTTGTCACATGATAAGGTATTCAGATTTTTCACTCCTGCATATGCAGTTAGGCTCTAGTTTTAATAAATGACACTGTTATAGTAGTTTAAATGCTGCTGATGATATAACTTCAACATTTTTAGAGCCAAAATGTTTTGGATTCAAACATGCAACACAGTGTACTTTCAGTTTACCTTGACTGTACTTTCACCTTGAAAGAGAGCAGTTTTTCACGCTTTGGAACAATAAATCTGTCATTCACCTAAGTGTTCGGCGCTGGCCGAGATTTGCCTGGGGAGAAATGTGCACACTGACCTGCTTCGTGTTGCAATACTCTCTGTTTTGGTATTGCATCTAAACTCGTTCCCTCCTTTTCTCCTTACAGGTAATGTTTCATGTTTGTATGGGTGCATGCAAACATGACCTGTAGTACAACTTGCGTTTTACGCCAAAGTGATCTGTGGAAACACTGATGCAAGACACAGTTGGGACATAATGAGCGTCAGATTTGTTGTTAAATGTGAGTGTCTGTGGTAGAATTTAGACTTTCAGAGCTCCATCTTTTACACTGACTTTAGCAAGATTTTACATGTTCTAGAATGAGTTTTGTACTGCTATACTTCTTTTTCTCTTGCTAACAACATCTGCTGCATTTCTTCTAGGTTGGAAGACAGTTTTGTAGAAAAAGTGGTTGTATAAGGAGCTCATGGGAGTGGCCAAGTCTGAGGTCAGCACTTCAGATCATGTGATTCAGCTAGTTAGGGTGGGGTCAGACTAAGACTTTTCTTAGGAGACTTGAGAGACAGAGGATTATTTTACTATAAAAGGGAGATTTAAATCTGACTACAAATAGTATCTGTGAACTCAATGCTTATTATTATACCACATTGACTAAAGAGACAAATATGTCACTGAATAAAAAAATAGCTTGTCATTTTCAGTCGCCTTCTCTCTTAGTGTTAGTTTGTTGCTTTGTTAGAAGAAGTAGCTGTGATGTTTTGACCAGAATGACGTGATGTTTACGCTGAGAAATGCACACGGTGATCCCGAGACATTAATCTAATGACATCCTTGAAACCTGAACAGACTGGACTCACTTCGCAGCTCCTTACCTACTTCTATCTCTCGTGTTTGCTGTGTGAACTGTGGAAGTGTTTTCAGTAAGGTTTTCTCCCCTCTGTGTTAGGGGTGAACTGCGAAGAAAAATGTTGCAGAACAAGTGTGCTGGGTCCGTCAAACTTCGGTAATCTTGCAGTCGCATTTTTGTTTTCATTTCCATTTTGAAGAAACCAAGAGGCTGAAACTAAGGGGCCACAATTATTCAAGTTCTGGTAAAATCGGAAATATTAGAGGTAGGCTTAGTCACACTTTATTTTTCTTTGCTTAATAGTGCCTTCTGGATATATCCACTCTTCATTATTTTTGTTTTGTTCTGTTTGTATTTTGTCTTCATGCAGAGTCTCCCCATTTTTAAGTCCAACTTTAGACTAAATATTTGAATTAGTAAGTGTACATATTTTCCTTTTGTGTTGCAACGTTTTGTTTTTTTTTTGTTTTGTTTTTTTTTTTGGCATATGTCATGTCACAGAAAGGTCATGGCTGGTAATAGTTATTTTTTCTGGTGATATAAATAGCATTAGCCATGACTGTGCTTATCCGCCAGCTTAGGATATGTTAACAGTATTATTATGAAGATTTAAAACAAGAACACACAACATGATCCAAGTGATTCCATGTAAAGCTACAGTTTCACAAAGCTGTTAAGATAAAATAATATCTATGCTTTCTATTTATTGTTATTCTGGTTTTGAGCTGACAGCTAAAACAGTACAGGTACAACTCAGACAATTAGAATGACATCTAAAAGTTTATTTATTTCAGTGATTAAATTTAAAAAAATTTATTTTTTAAATTTGAGATATTTAAATTATATATCTAATAGGGGTGCACCAATTTCATTCATTTTGGGAGATTGGCGATCAGCCGATTTTTACATGTGAAGCCGATCTTATCCACCGATGTTATTAACCTCTGCAAAGGTCTAAAAATCAACCACTGTGCTTTTCTTTTCTCACTTGAGAAAGATTTGACTGACAAACTGGCAGACCAGGTCATGTCTGCACATTTACAGTTAACAATAAATGTTAACTGTAAATGTGCTCCATTGTTGCCAATTAGGCAATCTTCTTGATATATTGAGCAACATTTCAGACAAAAAGCTGGTATCGGCCAGAATCGGAATCGGTAAGTTAGGCTTTTTAAAAGATCGATAATCGGCAATCGGCCAGAAGACTGCAATCGGTGCACCACTAATATCTCATCTTCTTGTTGGAAATAGTTTTTGTCTATTGTTGATGTTTTTAAATCTTGTGGGTGACCGGTCGATTAAACCATACTTTATCGCTGCATAACTCCCTTGACCCATGAATTCAGATTTCCCATATACAAGTCATAATGCAGAAGTCGGGGGCGTAAACAGAGGTGGTTGGACCTCTGCCTCCTTACAGCATCGGATCTTTCATACACATGGAGCCATCTAAAAGGCAACTTCATCCTGTCTTGAAGTGGCTGGTGAAAGTGATATTGTTTTGTCCTTCAATTTGACTCAAGAAAAAATATTGTCCACCTTAACTAAGCTGACTTTATTTTTGGTCAGCCCTGTCTGTTGTTTCCCCTTTCTTAGTTTTCTGGAAATGAATTACTATGTCTGAGTCAAAAGCTGCAGTGGAAGTGGGAGGGTTCTGGGTGCCGCAAAACTATGAATGAACAAAGCGATCTGGGACACAGACTAAACCACTCAGCAGCACAACATCAATCTGTCACTCTAGAGCCAGGCTGGCACCTGACCCCGGACACCACACACACCTTGTATAACCCGGGCTGTTTTAGGTGACAGGCACCCAGAATACCTAAGGAGTCACATTTCTTCTGGGTGTCTGGAGATCTTTTATGTGCTACGTTGCTTGTCAATAACAGTAATTGGACATACTACAGTAGCTTCTGCATTGTTAGATTCATCTCATTTGATTTTTACCACTCTGTCTTGGTGCTTCTAATAAATCTAGATCTATCTGGACCAGAGATTCCTGGACTGTCGCTGTCAGCAGTTGATGGTGGACTAATGAGACCATCACTATTCATTCTGCTTTTCTCGACTGGAAGATAGAGAGCCAAGAAAGAAACACCTGATCTCCTTGCTTTTGCTGTTTTTACTCGTGCTCATCTTCTGCCACCTCTACACTGCATCAATGTGCAAACATACACATCATTACCTCTACCATCCCCATGCTAGAATAGCCTCAGCTAAGCTCATTTTCCATCATTTGTGTTGTATTTGTTGTGTGATTCTAATTCCCTATCAATCAGTGTTTAAGTTGTATGCTGTTTGATAGCCATATGGCACTGATTTGCAATGTCAGAGACATAAAACACTGACAGTCCTCCTCTCGTCAGGCCATATGGCATGCGTGGGTGTGTGTTTGTGTATGCATTGGTATGGTGTGTGACCACTAATGGTCAACTCTCAGCATCACTTGCCAGTGTATAACAGGGATGGGTTGGTTTTAAGTCAAATTTATGAGGGAAGTGTGTTTGCACAGGCTTGCACACATTCTGTTCTGTGTAGAAGCTTCGGAGTGGAGTGCCTGCGTTGACCACAGCGTTGTGTGTTTATGTGTGTCTGTTCAGGAGGAATGCCAGCTCCTGAGCAGAGCCCAGTGACGGAGGAGAGGCTTCTGCTGACCATTCGTGACAGTTCAGCTGGCCGCAAAATGGAGACCGACAACACAGCCAATAACATCCTGGCCTCCGTTAAAGAACAGGTGTGTTTTTTTTTTTCTCTCTTTAAGCTATCCTTACAGTCTGTTTGAGTCATGTTTTATCTCTTATGATGAAAAAGTATCTCACACTATGAATCATTAGTGTACGGTGGCACTTATTGGCTGTTATATTGCTAGTGACTCACATATTTTATAATGTGCATTTTCTTCTGCTAATTTATAGGTAATGTTTCACTATGACTACATGGAATTTATAGGAAACACACCCATTTTCAGTTTTTATGGGAGTGAGATTGGGACTGTTTGATGGACATTCCAAGCACTGACTTGACTGTCCTTTAGCTTCCTAGCTAATTTTGTGATAATGTCCATTTGGAGAACCCTTTTGTGCCCAAACTTTAATGTGAATAATTTATTGAGGTGCTACTTTAATATTTCCACATAATGTAAAGCATTTATTTTCTGAACTGCTGCAGTTCCCCGTCCCACCCTCCTAGTTCCCACTACACAGATTATTTAAATTCCTACAATAGCACTCATCTAAGATTAATTTGTTTCTCCTAAAAATCTGAAGTGGACCCAGCTTGACTCAGGATATTATTTGTTTATGCCCTGCAGCTGAGGTCTGGCTTGTATCAGTGGATGACCAGGAAGCTCAGCTGTAGCAGCATTTCAGAGCTTGAGGAGGGACGTGACCTCTGATTCGCTCCATTTCTGCCTCACTCTTTGTGATTCATGTACACTCCCCTTGGTCTTGCACACACATGCACACATGACACACACACTTTCCTTTCCTTTCTGGAATAAAGACAGTCTTCTATGTTCCTGAAATTTACTCTCTGGATATTGTCCAGAAAAAAAAAAAAGTTCATTGTTTTGCATTTTAATTCTATTGTTTCGTGCTTATTTAAATAAACTTTTTGAAAGTCACCTAAACTATACTGTATAATAAGTTTTACTTTATCAATAATCTATTTTCAGCCTTAAGACCCATATAGATTTACTGCTGGAAAGTTGGTATTGTTTCCACAAGCAAGGAAGGGGAAGGGGGGAGCACCTGTCCATGTCACGTCCTTCCTTAGAGTATTTGAGTATTTCTCAGTTGCTCGTCCGGTTCGAGCAGATATCCATGCAGGCAAGCAGGAAGAGCAAGTAGTCCGCCTGAACTGTTGCTTTTCTGAATGACTGTCTGACTCACTGGTGTTGGAGTTATGCTTTAAAGAGAATTGCTATTGGAACAGTTGAGACAGTAAGATGATCGTTCTTGTGTGTTTGGACAGAGCGGAGTTGGACAGGAAAATAAAAGGGTGAGTAGAAAGGAAAACTTGTGAGAGGTCACGCTTGGCAAATGTGAGAATGTTTTTTCCTCTCTGCCTTAATGGTTTTCCTGTGATTGTTGAGGAGACCTTCCAGGGATTGCTCGGTCGATGTAAACATGAAGGACCGCTCTGCCAAAGGCCATGTGTGTTTTAAGAGCATAAGCTTAAAATGACTAGCTTCTTAGTTCAGTTGTTCCTTTTTCTTCTCTTTCTTTTTGCCTGATCATCAGTAAAGTTCCTTCCCTGCAATTTCCTTACCAATCCCTTCTTTTGGTCTACTTTTCTTTCTTTTTGTTTCAAAGTCCTGTTTCAATAACTGTTGTAGTAACAGTTGCTCAAGGCTTGCCAAGATGCCCAAACAAGGATAGATTCACCAGCAGACTATGGTTTCCTTCTCACAGAGTGATCCTTTGCTTGGACATGTCTTCCCTGTCTCCTTTCCTCCTTATGGGAGAAACATTCACAATGATTTCAAGCAAGCCTATTTTAAATGTTTAATATTCAGGACATTTCTTGCTGAACACTGCACTTTTTTTCCTTTCAGTACCTCATATTTTTCCATCATAATCATTAATGGATCGCATTATGTTTCAGAATTAACTTTGAAAACTCTTTTTTTAGTACTTAGTGTCTTAATGAAACTTAATTTGGCTGTAAGGGGTCTCTTATGGATAATCAAGGAGCTGGCAGTTTCTATCTCTTTGATCTTAAGTGTAATTAAAGCTGTGTAGTGAAAGTTGTGACTGTAGAGACATTAATTTTGAACGACTATTTTATGTGGATTCAGTCTTTATGACTCATCTTTCTTCTCTAAGCATTTAATTTGTTGTCATTCAATTTATCTTTGTTGGTTTGTGTTTTTTAACATATGGTATATACATGTGCATTTAATAGATGGTAATATAGTGTGCATCTCAATAAACCAGTTGTTTCAGTAGTTCAATTCAAATATATTTATTGTATTTGTATTGTATTTTCATACAACGTGTACAAATGTACATTATTTTTTCAAAAACGTTAAATCATATTAAAATTGTGCTTTAGGTCAGTTTGGTTTACTAGAATTACTTCTGTTAGCTACATGCTAGAATCATGAGTGAGATTCTTTTTTGAGATCTGTTAAAAATTCTTTAAATTGAGAAGTTTACAAAAAATCTTTCAATTTGGTCAAATTGTCTATATATATATATATATATATATATATATATATATATATATATATATATATATATATATATACACATTTGACCTGGGTCAAATGTTTTTGGTCTTCTTTTACAATTGTGTGACAAATATTTGCTGGGAATTTGGCCCATTCCTTCTGACATAACTGATGTAATTAAGTCAGGTTTGTTGGCATCTAGAGTTTTCTGATTGCCAGTCCAAAACATTGTCTCCATTGTCCTTAAGCCTTTTTGTAGTTTATTTGGTGATATGCTTAGGGCTGTTGTTTATTTGGAAGACCCATATGTTCATCTTTTCGGATCACAAATGTTTCTACAAAGATATTCTTTAGTTGTGTTTGATTTACAGTATTATAGATGCCAAATGCTTCCTTAACACAGGTGCTCAGCAACTCCATTGTAACAGTATATGTAACAGACTTTTGTTATCTAGCCATTGGAAAATGTTATTGCTACAGTAATTTAAGAGAAAATATTATTACACCTACCTTCTTTTCAACTAGCGATAACACAATGTTATTTAATTTTCTGAAAAGACTACATTTTTGTAACATAATAAACTTTGGACATTTATCTTCTCCAACCAAAGGACATTGGTTCAATTTCAGAGTAATTGTTCTACTAAATGTTTATTATGATTAGAGTAAGTGCAGGTTAAAGCTACACAATTTATTGAACTGCAGTCATCATTGCTGTTTGAAGCACAGAAGACTGCTTTCATGCAATATCTGAGAAAATATGAGAAAATGCAGGGAAATATTATTAGTACCTGGATTGTTACTTTTCCTTATTGGCTGTTTGATTTAGGACAGTAACAATTAATAATTAAAATTCATTACGGCAAATTATCTGCCTCAAAGCTTTGTTAAATTTTGTTTTACTATTTAGCGCACTGTGCTCCGTCCGGGTGATTATTTGTGTTGCGCAATTCTCTCACTTCCGCCTGTGAGTTGTTAACAAATGGTAAGGGCTAGCAATATAACATCTAATTTTCAAATTTGGTCATTGATTGACCCGATGTAGCCATATGGACAAACCGGAAAATAAATTTCATACCATCCCGGTCTATGTACTCCCACATGGTTGGCGTATATGTTTTTCTGTGTGTGAAGAAGGTGCCAAATCCTGTCACTCAAAAATGGGAAATGTGGACAAAAAAGCTATTAATGGCTGGGCAAAGTGAACCTTCATTTATTAAATTGACTGAATATGAATACATAAACAAAAATCTGAAGTAGGCTATAGACATTTTTTTAATAAGTTTCTTTGATAACCTGCTGCTTCATTTCTAAATGGAACGTAATTTTGGATTTTT